CCCCAGCCATTTGGAACTCACCTCTCACCACCTTGAACGTCCCCTAGGAGCGCTGGGACTTAGCATGTGCCCTGCTGGGTTTCTGTGTTGCTCTGGTACCATCCCTTCTCTCTATAGGCCTATTCTTCCCTTTTAGGATGGGAGCGTCGACTCTGTGCCATGGCACAAGGGAAACGTGCAGCTTGCTTTCTGATGGTTACAGGGGCCCACAAGGAAGGGTTTGCCTTGAGTCTCAGTGGAGACGTTGGACTTGAACTTTTGAGCTGTGCTGGAAATGTTAAGGTTTTGGAGATAGACTGAATCCTTCTGCGTTGGGAGATGGGCATGACCCTTTGAGGCCAGGGGCAGCCTGACATGGCTTGGATCTAGAACATCTCCCCAAGATTTATGTGTTCGATTATTTCCGAAAATAATTGGGTCGTGGGGACTCTGACCTCATCTGTGGATGAGTCCATTGGCAGCCGATGGGTTCGTGGGAGGCAGGAGCCGGTCGGAGGAAGTGGGTCACTGGGGGTGTGCCCTGGAAGGCCTTATCTTCTCTCTCATCTCTCTCTGTTCTCTGGCTGCCACAAGCTGAGTAGCTTTCTTCCACCACACCCTCTGCCATGCCATTGCTGCCTCAGAGACAACAGACCATGGGCTGAAACCTGAACTCTGAGCCAAAACAAACCCTTCCTTTTTAAGTGGTCTTGTTAGACTTTTGCTCCCAGTAATGAAAGCTGACCACCACGCCCCTCCGCATCGGTCTTATCCTCCTTGCCTTCTGTGTCCACGACACCCAGCCATGTCTAGTTTCTGTCATTTTGGTGATGACATATCCATCTCTACTACAAAATGTCAAAAGAGTCTGATTTATTTGGAGAATAACACTAGAATAATGGGACCGGCCATTCACAGAGCCACACGTTGATGACATTGTACCTGAAACCCATTGCTTATTTGGATCTGAAATGTACCCCCCCCACACACACCATGGCTCGTGTGTTGCAGGCTTGGTCCCCAACGCAGCAGGGTTCAAAGGTGAGGCTCTTGGAGGTGATTGGCTCATGAGGGCTCTGACCTCCTCAGTGGATTCAACAGTGGGTGGATTCCCTGTGGGGGGCTGTTGTGGGGAGCCCTTGGAGGCCTGCCATGAGGTTCTGCCTCACCGCAGGCCCAGAGAAATGGGGCAAGGCCCCCCGCAAACTGAAACTTGAGACCAGAGACCAAAACTGATCTTTCTTCTTTTCCGTTATTTTTCTTGGGTATTTTGTTACAGTGACAGAGACCTCAGGAGGATCCCTGCGTCCTCCTGGCTCAGTCCTCCAGCTCAGGGCCTGGCCTTCTCCTTGCCATCTGGCCTCGGCTGATCTGCACCCCTGGAGGACTCCGTTTTCGCCTCCGTAGAATGGGGGTGCTTGCAGCCCCCACAGTGGTGGGGCTGCCCAGTGTCCCTCTTGGAGCTCTTGCCACCGTGAACTGGACCTGCCCCTGGCCGGGTACCTTGAGTGGCGATGGGGACAGTCTGGAGGCCTGGGATTGGGGAAGGAGGAAGTGGATTCCGGTCTGCCCCTGCTGCAGGGCTCTGGGCCAGCAGCCTTCTTCCTCCACTTCCCGTTCTGGGATTCTTCTTCTGGTGTCTTGGGCTGGAGGGGGCTGGAATTTGGGCTGGTGGCAGGGTCCCCACCCTGATTCATTCCTGGTCTGGGCAGTGGTGGGGACGAGGACACCCCGAGCCCATTCCCCATCTGCAACTTCAGTGGAAAGGTGCGAGGAGTTCTGGGAGGAGGAGCAGGAGAGAGTCTTGACGGAGAGAAACAGGACACATGTGGTGACAGGGTAGGAGGGCGACGGGACAGAATAATTGAGACAGATTTAGAGGCAAGGGGACCTAGAAGTGGTGGGCACGATTGAACAGCTTCTGCCTTGGGCAAACTGCTTCGCTTCCAGCCTCCGTCTCCTTTTCTGTAAAATGTGGTGCTCTGAGCTGGGTGCACCCCTGCAATCCCAGTGACTCGGGAGGCTGAGGCAGGAGGATTGCAAGTTCAAAGCCAGCCTCAGCAATTGAGCGAGGCCCTAAACAACGTAGTGAGACCATCTTAAAATGAAAAACAAAAAGGGCTGGGGACGTGGCTCCACGGTAGGGTGCCCCTGGGTTCAATCCCCAGTATCAAACACAACACGAAGGGTGACCAGCAGCGCCCTGTGTGCTGGGGCCGGGTCAGTGGTCTCTTGCCCACCAGGCAGCCCGGAGGCTCTTCCTTTGTCTTCCCTGTTCCACCCCAAGTCACTGGGCACTTACCATGTGCCTGGCACCCTGTAGAAACCCAGGATAAAGCAAGGGACAAGTGGGCACCCTCCTGTCCCTGGGAGCCACCCTTCCCCATGATCAACTGTCACTATTGTCATACCATTTCAGGGCCATAAGCTGGGTCTCTGTGCAGCTGTCCTCAGCCCAGGGCAGGAGACTCCAGCCCAGTGGGGCCCTCAGGACCCAGCATGAGCCCCGTACTTCTGCCTGCCAGGAGCGGGAGGGTTGGCTGGCTGGTGGCAACCCTGGCCCCACCCCGGTTCTTCTTATGAACCTGCCTTTTCTTACAGCTCAAGGGGAGCCACAGGGCAGCAGGATCCTGCAGTGAGTGTGGGGGCCAGGCCAGAACCAGGGCCTGCCCCAGACATGCCAGCTTTGCCCCAGGGCCAGGGTCTGTGCCAGGTGTGGGCGATGGGAGGGATGAGTCACGGGGCCTGCCCCACCCAGCCTCTACTTAAGGTCCCCCAGCAGCTCGCTGCCACCACCGCTGCTGAACCACTTGCCAGCCATGTCAGGGAGCACCGTGAGTCTAGGGGCCAGGGTCGGGGTGGGTTTGGACACAGGCTCCCTGGGCCAGGAGGGAGGGCCGAGGCCTGGCTAAGGCCTCCAGTTCCAAGGAGAAAGTGGGTAATGCGCCTGGGAATCCCCGAGGGCCATGTGTCTGGGCGGACAGTCCTTCCCGCTGATCTCTCTCCCTCTCCATGGCTTCGTCCTGGTTTTTCTCTTGAAACCTTTTTTCTCTGTCCCACCCCGCCGCTCCCCTGCCTCTGTCTCTTCTCTCCTCTTTCTTTCTCTGTGATCCTTTCTCTTGCGCTTCCTGCCCATCCTGACCCGGGCATTTCCCCCTCTCTGGGTTGGTGGACCCACTTCTGTCTCTGCCTCTGGGTTCCCAACGCCCCCATATCCGGAATCTTGCAGAACGTCCCCCATAAGACCTCTCTGCCCGAGGGCCTCCGTGTGGGCACCGTGGTGAGGATTCGAGGAGTGGTCCCGGAGAAGGCCAGCAGGTGAGACCCGCTCAGGAGGAAGGGGTGGGGACTCTCCAGGCTCAGCCTGTCCCCATCCTAGTAGCCCAGAGACGGTGCCCCAGGGCGTCCCTGTCCACCAGAACCTGGGAGTATCCTGGGGGACCCTTTTCTCACATTCAGAAATCTGAATCTCGTCCACCAGGTGCCTGGTTCTCCCTAAGATTCTGGGATTTCAGGGCAATCTCAGGGCTCCTCGTGAGGTCCTGGGACTTCCATGTCTGAGCCTCCAAGACTCTGGAATTGTGCCTGGGCTCCCAGAATCCACCTGGGCACCTGGGAGGCCTTGGCAGTCAGTCCTATGACTCTCTAGATCTGGGACTTCAGGCCTTCTGGGTGCTCTGTAAATAGTGGGGACCCAGGTACTGTTCCTAGTCTTTTAGGAATTGAGAATTTCCGGGCAATCTCCTGGGAATCCGAATCACTCTGGCCATTAGTACCAGGACTCGGCAGCAGCTCTTTGGAAATAAGGGGGGGCTCTGGCCTGAGCACAGGGACCCTGGTCTAGGGGGATGTGTGCCCTGGAATCCCATAAACGTCATCGGAATCTGCAATCCGTGGCCTTTAGTTGGCCTCCCCCCGCTCTGCGGTGTGTAAGGACTCTGGTCCCTGGAAATTCTGGCGGGGTCTGGAGAGGGGCGTTCCCAGCACAGCCTTCCCTGAGCGGACAGGAGCCCTGTCGTCCACCTGTCGCCCACCGTCCCCTGCAGGTTCCACGTAAACCTGCTGTGCAGCGAGGAGCCCGAGGCGGACGCGGCCTTGCATTTCAACCCGCGGATGGACGCCTCCGAGGTGGTCTTCAACAGCAAGGAGCACGGCGCCTGGGGCCGGGAGGAGCGCGGCCCTGGCCTCCCCTTCCAGCGCGGGCAGCCCTTCGAGGTCCTTCTCATCACCACGGAAGATGGCTTTAAGGTGCGGCTCGGCCACAGGGAAGTTCCCCAGCGGAGCACCAGAGTCCTCTGCGCTGGGGGACAGCTTGGGAACACTGCCAGGAAGGGGCCTACGCAGACCCTCTCCCTGATTGGGCCACTCCCCGGTGCTGGGCGGTGACAGGGCCAGGGCGAGGTGGACACGAGCCCAAGAGGTGGTGTCTTGCGGGGCTGTGTGTGAAGTGACCCAGACCAGACATCTTCCACCCTACTCGGGGTCAGTCGTGCCAGATGTCCAGGCGTAAAGGCCGGGAAGGGGAAGAGCAGGGAGCGGCTTGGGGACAGCGACTAGGATCTAGTCCCAGACCTTCCCCAAGGCACCCAGACGCAGAGCTGGAACTTGGACCTGGTGTCCCTAGGCGGAGTCTAACCCCGACCCTCTCCCCCAGGCCGTGGTCGGGGACTCCGAGTACCACCACTTCCGTCACCGGCTGCCACTGACGCGCGTGCGCGTGATGGAGGTGGGCGGCGACGTGCAGCTGGGGTCCGTGAGGGTTTTCTGAGCAGAACCCAGAGCCTGGGGTCGCAGGAGGCCGGGAAGAAGGATGGAAAATAAAGTTTTAGACCCCAGTTCCTGTGTCCGTGTCCTTGCATCTGGATGAAGAAACGGGTTCAGGGGCGAAGACCGCGTTTCAGGGTCGCGCAGGGAACCCGTGTCCTAAGCGGGGTTCACACTCGCACCCGCTCGGGCAGGGCCTGTCTGCTGGGGCGCAGGAGGGTCTCCAGGTGGAGGGGTCGGTCCTGCGGCTGGTCACGATGCAGCATTTTGCAAAGCAAGTCCCAGGTCCCGGGGTTGGAGTTAGTGCGCTGGGTCCGGAGCAGCGAGGGGCTCAGCTCATCACCCGGCACCACGTCGCGGGGCCAGCGGACGCCAAAGTGGGTTCATGAGCAAAATGGGGAAATGATCCCTTGGGCACCCTGAAACCACGCGGTGAACGTGTGCATGCATGTCCCCAGCTCCTCTCTCCCGCCATCTCGCCTCCCCCCGCCCCTGGAAAAGCCGCCGGCGGGCGGGGCTGGGAACCCTGGTGGGCGTCGCCGGCTGCGCGCTGCGCCGAGTCGGGACAGGTCCCAGCCTGCGCGTCCTCCGGGCAGACGCGACAGCTGGCGAGGGCCCCGCGGAGCGGCGGGGATGCGAAGGCGGGTGTAGGGTCCCCGCTGCCAATCAGCACACGCCCCGCCCTGCCAACCCCACGGCCCGACCCCCGCCCCACCCCGTGTGTGACCCGCGGGAAGCGGCGCTGAGCGCAGGGCCCCTGGCGCGATTTCCAGCGTCCAGGGCCGCGCTGACGGTCCCCTTTAGGGCGGGCTGGGAGAGGCCAGGGCCACCAAGTGTCCCGATCCCTGCACCTGGGCGCAGTGCTCAGTGGTGGCTGCAGGTCTCGGCAGCGGGAGGAGCGAGGCCGGAGGCCCCGAGGAGAGATGGCAAGTTGGGTCTGGCAGCCCAGCTTCGGGAATTTTCGTCCCAAGCCACTCCTTGGAGAGACGCGCCTTGGGCTTCGAGCCCAAAACCTGAGCAACAGATGACGGTCCCCCCCTGGCGGCCGCCGCCGACATAGCCATCTCCACCAGCGGGCGCAGGACGCGGGTGGATTCTGAGCGTGGCGCCCTCGGGGACCGGGGACCGAGATCCCTGGACTCCAGCCCTTTCAGCCCTGCGACCTGCAGGCTGATCTGTCCCTTTCGATGCCCAACCCATGGGGGGCGGGTGGGAAGTAGTAGGACTGTCCCCTTCTCTCAGTAGCAAAGTCTGAATCTCCCCAGCCCTCCAAGGCTCACTGTTAAGAGGTAACTTTTATTCAGCTCTGACAAGTACTTACACATATCTTAAAGTATTTAGGTAAAGATGTCTCCGGGGGAAAGCAAAATAGACAGTGGACATTATTGGCACAAATGGAGAATAAATGGTAGCTGCCATCTGCGCGTTAGACCTTAGTGATCCATCTGTGTTGAGTTCTCACCGTTGTTCTGCAATGGGTGTGGGGGAGACTTCTTGTTTGTGTCAAACACACAGTAAAGTATTTGGAGGTGACCGGACAGAGTGTTGGCGACTTATTCAGAAATTAAAAATTAGTAATAATTGCCAAATGTGGTTCTGCTCACCTGTAATCCCAGTGGCTCAGGAGGCTGAGGCAGGAGGATCAAAAGTTTGAGGCCAGTCTCAGCAACCTTGTCTCAAAATAAAAAACAAAAATGGCTGTGGATGTGGCTCAGTGGTTAAATGACTGCATATTTGCTATTTGACACATGTGTACACAATATACATGTCCTTTTGGGGTACGCATGTTCTCACTTACTGTGAATCCTTCATCAATTCCCCTGTGGACTTCTAAACACAAGCGCATATACCATTTTCCCTCCATGAATTAATGATAGCACCCTCCACCTGCTCCACCTCTTGTTTGTCACTTGGACCCAGAGTCCTAGAAACGTTCATGAGTCCCTATTTGCGTTGGTCACTGTGCTAATCATTCTGTGGATCCCCAGAGCAACCCTCTGAACTTCATCCTCTCAGTATGCAATGGTTTCCAGGTGATGACTCTGATGCACCAGAAGGTTGTTTGTTGTTCAAGGTCACACATCATCCAGAAAATATGATTCCACACAGCAGGGTCTAAGTCACTGGACATTTGTGTTTTGTTTAACATCAACTTTATTGCAGCATTCTTTATAAAATTCATCTTTTTGGGGTGCACAGTTGCATGCATTTGACAAGCAAATCCAGTTGCATGACCACCACCACTATTAGGTTACAGGACATTTATCTCTCCCCTCTCTTGCACACTCCTGTCCCTTGACTGCCATCCACCTGCTGTCTGTCCTCATTATTTATTTATTGGGGATTAAACCCAGTGGCACGCTACCCCTGAGCTACATCCTCAGCCTTTTTTGTTTCTTATTTTGAGACGGGAGCTTGTTATGTTGCTCAGGCTGGCTTTGAACTTGCAATCTTCCTGCCTCGGACTCCTGAGTAATAGATTACAGGCATGTGCCACTACACCTGGTTTATCTTCATAATTTAGTTTTTCCTGTTTTCGAACTTGGTATAAAATTACAGTACTCTTAAAGTTCTGGTTGTTGCTTTTTGAAATTCTTTTCAATATTTTTCTGTTCAGTGGGGCACAGTGGTGCACGCCTGTAATCCCAGTGGTTAGGGAGGCTGAGGCAGGAGGATCTCGAGTTCAAAGCCAGCCTCAGCAAAGGCGAGGCACTAAGCAACTCAGTGAAACCATGTCTTTAAATAAAATATAAAATAGGGCTGGGGATGTGGCTCAGTAGTTGAGTGTCCCTGTCAATCCCTGGTACCAAAAAAAGAAGGAGGAGGAGGAGGAGGAGGAGGAGGAGAGGAATCTTTGCCCACTTACAGTCACAAGGATTTCCACTGATGTTTTCTTGGTTGTAGCTTTATATTTTGATAATTTGTGTTTAGGTCCACGATCTAATTTTAGTTTCCAGTAGTTCAAGTTCAATGTTAGTCTATAAAAATACTGGGTGTTTGTGGCTGCTGTAGGTGTTGTCTGTTGGTTGGTTGTTTTTGTGTTTTTTTCTTGGTGTGTTGACTTTATATCCTTGCTAAATTAACGTATCAGCTCTTGTAGCTTTTTCTGTAGTTTTTTCCCCTAAATTTTCTACAGGTTGACAGTCATTTCACCTGTGAGTTTTACTTCTTGCTTCCTGATCTTTATTTCCTTCCCTGATCTTACCTGCCTTTTGCACTGGGTAGGAATTTTGGTGCGAGTTACACATCCCCCTCCAAAAATCCAAATTCTGAAACGCACCAAATTGGAGATTTTTTTTAAATTTTTTTTTTTTTTGAGATGCTGGGGTTGGAACTCAGGACCTCTTGCGTGCTAGGCAAGTGCTCTACCCCGGAGCTACACCCCCAGACCTCGGTGATTTTTTGAGCACTGGCATCTTGCCCAAAGTGGAAAATTCCACATCTGACTTCTAGGCACAGATGACAATAAAAATACAGGCACACTGAGGATGATCCACAGACTGGGGCTGGGGCTGGGGCTGAGAGGAAGAGTGCCCGCCTAGCACACGCAAAGCCCTGGGTTCGATCCTCAGCACCACATCAAAATAAATGAATAAAATAAAGGCGTTGTGTCCAACTACAACTAAAAAATAAATACTTTTAAAAAATAATACATAGACTTACCTTTGAGCTAGGTGTATAAGATGCACAGGGAACATACGAAAATTCCATGTTTAGACTTGGGTCCCATTCCCCAGACATTTCATAACACATAGACAAAGATCCCAAAATGAAAAAAGAATAAATAA